AGCTCTACTGTCCGGCACATGTAGTGGATGTGGGATTCCTGTATCTTGTTTTCCAGGCTGAACAGCAGATTCCCTCTGTGCTTGAATCCATTTAAGCTTGTCAATGTGCTCATTTAGTTGGTGCTTCATGGAGGTTCTGTGTTGCCCTATAGTAAACCTTTTAGCAATGCTTCTTTCCTTCTGTTTTAACTGGCAACCCTGTAAACTCGCTTTAGGATCTAAGCATTCATCTGTTTTCTCTTGTATATCCTAACTAGTCCTAAAGGCAGCTACCATCAGTCTTTTCATGGATGGAACAGAGATTGGCTGTGTAACTGGAACAATGTTGTTGATGCCTATGAAGGAATAGAATTGGCTGGTCTCGTATCTAATGGAATGGTTCCACAGAGCTCATCAGCATAAACATATGTTTACTAAGTCAGTAAGATTCAGTTGCAGCACCCAAGAGGCAGAGCTGTCAAATTAGATGACTCCATTGATATATGGCATATTTTGGGATGAGCATGGGCAAAGCCTACTGTGAAGAACTAGCTCTAGTCAGTACACAAGGTTCATGTTTCTGTAAACAGACCCACCCTGGAATAAATGGTAAGATTACTTTTGTAACCACAATGGCATGAGCATAAACCTACCATTGTGCAAATGCATGCATAAATCCAGCTTTTCAAAGTAGCAAGAGCTTTTGTTTTTAGGATGGAAAGAACAGCCTCTAGGCACAGATGCTATTGTCACCAGTAACTAAAGTGTTCAGTGTACGTACATGCATACACGTGTGTATGCATACACGTAGAAACTAGAGAAGCATGCTTATGATCTTGCCATATGTAACGTGGGAAAACCTTGGGAAGCCAGTGCAACAAATGGAATTTAGTGGAAACTGAAGCCAAGTGAGGCTTCGTGGGAGAAGACCTATGAAATGCCCATACTGTAACATGCCTCCTTTAACCAGATGCTTTCTTGGATGCGTCCACACTTCAGTTGCATGGGTGGGGGGTTTGTGTACTTGCCTGGTCTGCCAGGCCCTGGGGGAGGGACTTGGGATGTTGTTAAGAGATGTCACTGTTTTGAGAGAGTCCAGATGGTGACCGTGGGAGGTCTGAGTCATTCTGGTGGCGGGGGAAGAGAGGTTTTGTGGGTTGTACTCCATGCTGCCATATTGAGACTTGCTGAATGGTTCTCAACGAAGAGGTGTGAAGGGTAGTTGGGTTAGTCGGATAACCACATGCTTTAGTTTTGTGCAGACCCTGCTAATGTCGTGACTTTGAGGATAACTTTCTTTCCTTCCTGCAGGAGTTCAGATGATGACGGGGAGGAAGAGTCTGCTGCTCAAGGGAACAGACAAACCCATGATAATCTGTACAGGGTGCATATGCCCAGCCTCTACAGCTGTGGGAGTAGCTATGGCAGTGAGACCAGCATCCCAGCAGCAGCTCACACAGTCAGCAATGCTCCTGTCACAGAGTACATGTGAGTAGCCACAGTGGGCAGCCAATTCTATCCAGACTGCCTTGATTCAGCTTAGTGGCAGGTGCCCACTGAGCAGAGGTAGCTGAAAAGGCCTTCAAGGCCAGCTCTGCCTTGAATTGGAGAAGCTTGTTAATAGCGGCCCTAACTGAGACAAAAATGATAAAAGGCTTGCAACTGTTGCTCTTAGTGGAAGAAAATACACTTTTACTTAATGTGGGAATGCCTGCTAATGCTGCAGTAGAAATATTGTAGTAGGTACGTTACCTGAAAACACTTGCTGCCTGATGTTATTGGTGTTGAATATTATCTTCCTAGGGAAAGGTTGGAGAGGGGTTTCACTTGGCTTCCATTTTATAATAAGTCTTGTGTCTCAAGACCCCATTAATCAGATGCAACTGTTCTGCCAGAGTTTTATGCTTCCCGTGTGGGTGGGAGCCACAGAACCTCAGGTTCAGCCTTTGCCTGGAAGGCAACTCTGCTGTCTTCGCAGTCTGGATTCAACCAGTTCAGGGCCTTCATTTAGTAGACACCCCTTCCACAGAGCTTCGCACTTTAACCACCCGCATGGCCTGTTTGTCTTGGATTGCTTCATCTTTTGCTTGCCCTCCTCACCAATGCATTCTCCTCTGATTTGGTTCCACTTTTGGTTTGGGGGCAGGGAACCAGAGTTCGGATGCAGCACTCCATATGCATTCTCTTTTACAATGGTTCCAGGGGATGGGTGGATTCCCCTCATGGTGTGCCAGTGATGGGACATGTAGGAAAAGCATTCCAGGAGCTGAATTTGTGGTGGTATTTGCAGGAAGCAGCCGTGCCCTCAGTCCTAGACTCTCTCTCTCTCTGCCAGATCCAAAGTCCCCATACAGAGGAGGGGGCCACGTGCAACTGTCACCATCTATGTTTCCCTTCCATAGGAGCCAGAATGCAAACTTCCAGAACCCCCGTTGTGAGAACACCCCTCTGATTGGCTGGGAGTCCCCACCTCCCTCAGTAAGTTTCTTTACTGCTTCTCTCTGCTTCAGCATCCAAGGCCAACTTCTGCTTTGGGGATGCACATGTGCCACTCTTGTAATACCTCCAGGGGGTGCTGATTGTGCAGCTGGAGGCAGGATCTGGCCCCTACATGGTAGAAAGCTATGTAGACAAGTCAAGTCTAAGCTGCCACGGAGAATCAAAGCAGAGTGTGCTGTTGTGGTCACATATATGTATGAGCAAGATCAAACTCACTCTACAAAATCACATAACACTCTGGTCCCTGTCCAGTGAACACTGAAGTGCATGAGTCATGTTGTGGGTGACTTCAGTGCCATTCTTCACATGCATGCTGTTACTCACTTTGCAGCATTGGTCCCTAAGGCTCAGAAAGAAGTTGTAAACTCAGAGTGAATGCTGAAACTCTCTCCTTAATCTGCCCTGCGAAGACGAGAAGAAACTTCCGATTATTTTTAGTTTTATTCTTTGTTTCATAGCATTTGTAGATGTTATTTTAGAATTTCTATTCCTGTATTTAATTTCCTGAGGAGAAAAAAAAAATCTTTCATGGAAGGTTCTTTGGGAGCTTGGAGTGGCTTGGTAGCCATTTCAGTCTGTTGGGTAAAATGCAGAGCTTTTATTTATGCCTTTGTAAAAGGTAGCTGAATCTTGTCCTCATTTTGCTGGATCCTATGACTCTCTCTTCAGCACCATAACCACGTGGGGAATGGGCCATCACACTGCCAGCTACTAACCTGCTAACAGTTACCAAGGATGCCAGGCAACACGCTTTCATGCTGAACCAGGCAGGCTTATTATAGTTACCGTACTCACTATTGGGCCCAATTCAGGTTAACTAAGGGGGGCCATGGGGCACTTCATGGTCTTATTTACGTGCAGTCAGAAGCTCTTCTAACTTCAGCAGTGGCAAAATGGATAGGCAGCCCTTGTCTCGTGCTGGCTGGGGTTTTTAGAACTTGCTTAAAATTGGAAAAGAAAAATTTGGGCCCCTGGTGTTCTGCACTTGAGCTCAGGAAGTGTTCTTGGCTCTTGGCAATGGGGCTGGCTTCAGAGGAAGTGTTGGTGCAGCCTACAGCACAGTGCCACCAACCACTGCTTTACCACTGGTATCTTGCATTGCAATCAACTCCTTTTAATACTGCACAGACCTGTTTTGGTTGCTTCCTCTGGGGCAGAGCCCTGCTGAAGATCACTTCCCATCCCCAGAGCTCTTCTGCCTCAGAAAAGAGGCTTCTTTCTGCAGGGACTTTAGCCTTGGTGAGAGGATTCCCTGGTGCTTCAGTAGCTGGTTGCTTTAATGACCTCAAGGGTATATCCTAAGTCTTGATGCCTTCAGCTGATTTCTGAGAAGAAATGCTGGTAAGGGCTTTTTTTTTTTTTTCAAAGGAATTTCACTTGAGAACCAAGTGGGAAGGGGTCTGGGGAGCAGTACATCCTGGTGTAATGGACGAGGTGGAGAGGGGACACCTAATCCCCTGTCTTGACTGTGGAGATGACTGTCCAAAAGGTGTAAGGATTGGGGTATAGCAGCAAGTTTACCTTCCAAATAGATGAAAAAACTGGCCCAAGCTGTTTAAGTCGAGGGAGGAGAAATGTCCCTTCTCACCTGCCACCCAGGCAAGTAGTGGGATAGAGAGGACCCTGTGGGATGTGTCAGACCTCCATGCTAAGTGGCCGAGGCCATGGTGTGAATGGCAGAAAAAGCTGATGGCACGCAAATCGGCCAACAACCCTGCAGTACGGACGCTTCCCCTTTGGGTGTCGTGGCCGTGAATGGAACCACCCAAGCAGAGTCAAGGACATGGGACAGGCCAGAGGTATCCTGTGCGGCTCAGCTCGTGGGAACTGACTGAGAACCAGGCCGTAAGGATCCGACTGCATTGTTTGTCCTTTTTTCTTTTCTCCCTGTCATTCCTTCTGTCGTCTCCTTCTTACCCCAGGGCCGTTCCTGTAGGGGGATAGAGCCCTCATTGTCACTGGCACACATCACAGCGTTTCACTTGCTTGCACTGTGTTTTTCATGCACGTTGAGGCTGCACTCTCTTTTTCTCTCTCTCTCCTGCGTCATCACAGTTGTATTTGGCTGCCATGGACAGTAGCAGCCATATGAGCTGGCAGTTTAAGCCCTCGGACAGTGCACGGACGTACTGGTAACAGCGCCCACAAATGGAACAGGTACTGAAATAAGGTCCTTCTCGCTCAATCCCTTCTCCACTCCCACCTATCCCTCTCATCCCTGCACTATTTACCCTAGGCCAGTGCCTTATTTCTTCACGTTCCCTCCCCCTGCACCTTCCACCCCATCCCTTCCTGCCAAGAGTTAAGCTAAGCAGGCCTGCCCTGGTGCTGACTTGGTGGGTAGCTTCAACACTTCCCCTTGGCACTTGTCCCCGTGCATTGCAGCGGCCAGAGATCCCACGCGAGCCCACATCACTGCGTTTGAGAACAGGCTGAACACCTGGCCCCAGCAGTCCCAGGAGGCAAATCTGTTCCAGTTCCTCATTTCAAGAATCCAATTTGAACGGTAACAAGACTTGGCACACGAGCCTTTTAATAAGGACTGGCTGTTTGTTTCCACCTTGGTCTCCTTTCTGCTCTGACTGCCACTCGTTTTCTCACCAATGTGATGACCCATGCTAGAGACCAAGGATATACTTTTTTTACCATCAGTTTTAAGTTCCTCCACAGTCTGAGCAACATGGTTGTCCTTGGATAGCTGGCCTAAATGGGCTGTCACATGGCTTATCAGAACCAGCAGCCCCTCTCAGAGCTTAGCTGTTCAGTTGCCCATTTTACATTTTATCCTAGAATTCAAGGTGTGGGATAAGCAAGTTTTTTAAAGCAATTCTCCCAGGTGTCCAGGCACATAACATCCTTGATTCTACATAGCTCTGTTCTAACACTTCCTTGTGCCAAAAGTATTCCATTAATTTCCTACATATGCTGGATGGAGCACTTGAGTCCTTTCCTAGCATCAGTCCGTAGTTAACAGGAGGTGGTTAAGACCCATCTCCAAGATGAACCCCTCATTTCTTCTCTCAGCTCAAGGGCCATTTACCATAGGAAGGGAGGAGTTGTCTGAACCGCATTTTACAGTTGCAGTTCATAAACTGCCTGTGGTGTATCATCTGAATTCCTGGGCAGCACACTGGCTGAGATCAGCACAGAGATCTTTGCAAAGAAAGTGGTAATCGCAGCCTAACTGGAACATGTTAGCTCCAGCTGGAATGCAGAACCATCTCCAGTCGGGTGCTGCAGCCAGTTTGCACTCCGCTCCCAGCCAGACTTGTACATACAGCTGCTGCTCCTCTGCATCTGCCATTCCTCCAGGGGCTTGTACACTTTTACCTTGCACTGGTGACCATTCTGCCATGTCACTGCTTGGTCTGCATTCTTGCCGCCTCTTGCCATTTGTCTGCTCTGCTTTTATGGGGTGCTTGGGGGTTTCTGAGACGCTGGCTGACGCGTGGGATCAGGGGTGGGCAGTTGCTTTGATGTTCTCTGTCACTGTGCATGACATGAACGGGTCTGTGTGCACACTTAATGCATGCTGCTCGTGCTGTCCAGAATGTCACCGCTTCCTTCACTCTGTTCTAACAGTCTTGCAGAGACCTTTCTTGGATGTCAGGTCCTGGTGCTTGTGTGCTTCCTTATTCCACAGGTATTACATTGGTGCTTTAGCGATGCTGTTTAAGGATCCGTCAACACCTCTTTATCCTCACCTTTTTTCCAGGGAGTTAACTCTGGGTTTAAAATGTTTACTAGACTTAGACTTGACCCAAGGATCAAGCCTTTACCAGAATCAGGCTCAGAGTTGCATGGCTCACTGCAAAAGTAACAAAAAAAACCCATGCTTCTCTTAAAGCTCTGCTTGGAACTTGGTAGCCCTCCTGGAAACTAGAACCATTTTGTTATTCCAGGATCCACTGGTTATAGCTGAGTACCTCTCCCCCCACCCTTCCCCATGAAAAGACCTGCATTTTAAACTCTAGTTCAGGGGTCAGCAACACTTGGGCAATGCCACAAACTCCCCAACTCGACTTAGAATATGTTGGTGTGTCAGGGGCAGATGGTGGGGGATCTGCAAGGGTCCCAGTTCTTGTTGTGGCAGTGCAACCTAGGCCCCATCCCCACCGTCTGCGCACAGGCATGCGTGCACCTGTCTCCAGCAGAGAGCCAGGCCAGGGCTCTGTGGCCCCGGTGCAGCTGCCTGCAGCTTCCCTGTTGCCTGCTCTGAGCAGCCCAGGCTCCATGGTGTGTGGCAGGGGTCTGCTCCAAGCCTAGGCTGGCTGTGGCAGGCAGCTGGGATGTGGCAAGCAGCTGCAGCAGCATCCACAGAGCCCCATCCCAGCTTGTTGCCAGCAGTGGATGCATGCACGCCTCAGGGTGGATGGTGGGGAAGGAGCCAGGGGCTGCTCTGCCACAACAAGGATTGGGCCCTTCACTGCTCATCTGCCACTGGTAATGAGCTGGGCCGGGGCTCCGCAGACCCCAGTGCAGCTGCTTGTAGCCTCCCAGCTGCCTGGCACAGCTCACCGGAGCTCTGGGCAGGCTCTTGTTGCCTGCCACAGAGCCCAGGCTGTTTGCAGCAGGCACTGGGGAGGCTGCAAGCCAAGCCCTGGCCTGGCTTGCTGCTGATGGTGGGTGCACATGTGCCTTAGAACAGATGGTGGGGGACCCAAAGGGGCCTGATCCATGTAGCAGTACAGCCCTAGCCCCTTCAGTGCTGTCTGCCCCAAGGCACATGTGCCAAGCAAAATGCCTTCATGCGCCACGCTCTGACGTGTGCTGGGGTTGCTAACCCCTGCTCTAGTTCTTTAAGGTACTTTTATTAAACTATAAAGTTTCAAGCCTAGCAGTTTTATTTTCAAATTGATTTTTAAAGCACGGTAAGATTTTAGGGTCTTAATAGTGAAAGGAAATAAAAAAGGCTGGAGGTAGTTTCTGTAAGTCCTCACACCAAGATGACTAGCGCTATGCAGGGGGTGGGTGAGGTGCATCTGCTTATTTTGTAGACAGTTTTGCCATACAGTTTAATTGCAGTGCAACTCACGATCTGCAGAGATCTCAAGTTTTTACCTGGTGAATATTTAGGTGTGGAGTCTCAAATCAAAGGACTCCATGCACGTTGGTGTTCTGAACCAAGCGTTCTCATGCATGGAAACTTGCACTGTTAATCACCCAGCAATTGGCAAATACACTCAGCTGGTACTTAGTGGTGAAACGTGTTGGCGAAAGGAGGCCTAATTGGCAAGGGTAAAACTTCAAAATGTTGTAATACAAATATACAAGCCATAGCAGATCTAGCTCACTGCTAACAGTTCTAGTTCACTGGTAAGTGAATGATTGTTGAGATCCATCAAGCGTCTCAAGACCAGATCAAAACCAAATGCCTATGTACTCATGATTGCCCAGTATGAAAGCGCGCAATATAATAAAAATAAGTATTAAAATTTGTATCCCTAACATGTGAAAAACAGTATATGGGTGTAGCTTGTCCTGAAGACTCCTTTTCAGACCTGAAGGATCCAGAATACACTTTCTTAAACCTTCTATGAAAGCTGTTTTTTGGTATTAATTTTTTTAAAAGAAAGGAAATTAAATACAATCTTCTGTCTTGAAAGAACTGCTACAGATGGGCCAGTTGCAAGCAACTCAATTAAGTCCAAAGTGTCACTGTTAGATGTGAACTGTTCTGCCCACACTATGATGCTTAACAGTTTGTTTTTCTTAAGCAGGCAGAGGCACGATTGTTTAACTGTACCAGTAACCTAGTCGACTTTGGTCCATATGGCTGGCAACTGTCTTGCCCTCATAACTAATTGGTGTATCTACACCTACTAGCTTGCCTAATCATTGGTATCTGCATTCAGGGCATCTATCTCATGCTCCTTCAGCAGGGTGGATGCATTCTTACCTGACGTGACAATCCACTTTACGCAGGGCAGTACACTTGAGGAAAACTAGCTGCTTGGGATCCCGTGTACCCTTCCAAAATTGCTGTGTTACATTATCTTGTTTCCAGTTCATCATGCAGTCTGAGCGAAATGTTGGCTGGCTCAGCTGCTTCGAGTTTGAATTAAAAGCTGTACGCGGGCATACAGCCCTACTTTAAATGAACCATAACTGTTCAAAGACGGTTAAAATTTGGGAAGTGGACAGGATCTTAGGCATGACAGACCTGAGTTAAGGAGAGAACTTCAGCCTTAACTCTGACTCCCCTGGCTTGTGTCTGCTTGTGAGACAAATTGGGGTTGCTTTAAAGTTGGGTTTAAAACTGAAAGCAAAACTCCGTGCTTGACTTGTCTGTCCAGTTCTTCCTTTACTTTAAATCATTCTGTTTCTGGGTGGCATTTAAAACTACTGTGTTGTTGGATAAATGGGAGCAGTCCAGTGCTTTTTGACCTCTTGCATGTCTGTAGACCTATGTAGTACAGCTTCAAAATGCTGTTCATTAGGTTGTGTCTGTCTTTTGATGTGAGAATTCTGCAGAGACTGGCTGTAAGTCTATATCCAGGAAGCAATTGGGGGCAGGGGGAAACATGTTCCTAGTTTCTTTATCTAAATGCTCCCTGCTCTTTGAGAACCTGGTAGGTGAGGGGTGTTTTCCTCTGTCCATTCCACGTTTTCCTTTTCCTACTCCTGCTTTCCGCACAGTATAGATGGAAGATTACTGATCAAACGGTTCTGCTTTTCACGAGACTTTTCAGCCTGTCCTCTGAAGAAACCCATATAAAGAACTTTAAAAAAAAAAAAAAAAAAAAAAAAAAAATCTAAACTGCTTTGAGCTAATTTGGTTGATGCAAGGTTTTTTGGGTTTTTTTACCAGTACTTCGAACCTTACTTTGGTGATAGTGGGATAGCTAATATTTAAGCAGCTGTGTAACGCATCATTCCTGCTAGTAGTTAGACGCACATGTGAGAGCACACACTTTACATTAAGAAGTTAGTGTTGGATTGGTGTCCTATCTCACTCACTTTGGAAGGCATTTAAGAATGTGTAGTCAACAAATAATAGTAGCATACCAAGTAGTATACAAATACACTACATTTCTTAGTCCTGCTGAAATGGGCATATCTTCTCCGTGGTGCAGAATCAGTCCTGAACACGGGAATGCTGTTGGCAAAATTCAGTTAACACTGAAAAACACTTTGGGGCTCTGCTGTGGAGTTCCGGGACTTGCCATCATGATCTTGTCCAAGAGGCAGGGCAAAAAGTATTGCAATATAACTGATACGCTTAGTTTCATAATTATATTTTTCTTGGCTTTTTGGGCAGCCAGCTTCATTATGCAGTGTCAGTTGTAAAGTGCTAAAAATCTGGACATATGGGTAGCATTGTCAGGAAGTTTTTAAGTCTCTATTCACTGACTAGCTGTGAAATGGCTGTTCATACTATGAAGACACATGGAGTGCCAGCTGCAGAAGCAATAACACCATGCTTATGGTGGCTTTCTTAGACTTGCTCACATACAGAGGCCAAGACTTCATGCTTACTGCTGCATGCAGGGAATAATGTTCGAAGTGGCATAGCTGTGCTCCTAGCAGTTCTGACATCTGAGTAACACAGGTTCATCCAAAGCACCTTAAATTCCCTCACCATTAACTAGCAAAGTTTCTTGGCCACTGAGTTTCTGCCATTCCCCACTGAAAGCACAGCTGTGCCTACTACCAGACTAATTCTTGATGTCACCCATCCCATTGCTGGTTGATTAGTCCCAAGTGACTCCATTTTTTCCCAGCCTGGTCAGGGTTTGAAACTATCTCAGATAATTTATTAGTATGTATGCAAAGGCCACAGCCACCCTTCTTATTGTAGCAGAATGAAAGCTTATTGCTCTGACTTGACTATATTATGACCTGTGGAAACCAACCTTGTCGTGGTTTCACTTCTGTGGGTCCATGCCTGCCCTGTCAACAGACATGGGCATAAACCTACTCCAGCAGGGATTTGTTCTTCAGCGGTCCTTGGCCATAATTGTTGTGATGCCTGTGGTCTGTTGAAGTCCCTGTTGCACGCTCTCAGTATAACTCACTCTTCTGGGTTTTTTTCGAAGCATCTCATCCTTCTACATGGCTGAAGAAAACAATACAACTGACTGCTGAGTCAAAAAAAAAAAAAAAAGGCTGAAATCCTGAGATGTGTGTTTACAAGAGCAGTGCCCCCTCATCCCCCTCTTCCTCCTACTTAAGTATGGAGTACTCATGAAACACCGATTTTATGGTGCCTCTTGGCACTGGTATTTCCTTCCTGGTGGGGAGCTGGGGTATAGGTTATATTAGTATGTATGCAAAGGATGCAGCCAGCCTCTTCCTGCAGCAAAATGAAAGTTTGTTGCTCTGCCTTGACTATTTGACTATGTTATGATCTGTGAAAATTTCCCTTGGAGACTTCAAGAGAACCAAGCCAAGAGGCTTCTTGGTAAGCCAGGAATAAACCAAAATGAGCTTGGGAAGTGGTAATAGCCCAGCGTTTCATGTTGGTGCTGCTCATTTTGACTTACCATTTGTTTTATTTTTTTTTTGTCTTTCTCCAGTACACCTCCAGCATGAGAGCCAAATACCTCGCCACCAACCAACCTCGCCCAGACTCTGGCAGTGTGCATTAAAAATAACACACAGTAAACTAAACAGATGTGCCAACTGCTGTGCCCCCCACCTGTGCTGTCCTCAACCCTGCTGTCCTGCCCCAAACCCAGCGCAGATCCTCCTCCTCCTCCTCCTCCTCCTCCTCCTGCTTCTCCAGTACAAATCACCCCTCCAACCTGGTACCTGTCTATTGGGAATCTGAATGGATGCCCCTTCCAAATTAAACCTACACCTAGCTGTACCTGGTAGGGGAAGGAAGAGAGAGAGAATGAGCATGCACATGCAAGCATCTGAAAAAAAGATCACCAGCTCATCTAGGCTTGCTGTGTTCGGGGCCAGCTCTATCAATAGCCTATTGGGAAATGTTTGCAAACACCTCTGCTTCTGACCCCCTCCCCCTTCCCCCTCCGTTCTTCAGAGGGACTGGATGAAAAACGATTTCTATCTTCAGCTTGGTGAGGGGATCAGCAAATCTGCTCAGCCTGCAGCGTGTTGAAGAAGGAAATGCTCCTTGCACGTGGCTGTCATGGGCAGAGAAGGAAAGCCATGCCCGTGGGCCACCTCTTCAATGCCTGTGCAGCCGGTGCTTCTGCAGAAGTCGTCTTGCCTCTTGTCCCCTGTGGAAATTGCCTTCTGGTGCACTGAATATCTGCTTTACTTGGGAGCTCTACCTTGGCTTTATTTAGAACAAACAGAGCCACTGTGTCTCTGGTGATGTTGGTCAACTCAATTCCTCTTTCTTTCCCCTTTCTATTCAGCTTCTGAATTCTCGAGGAGGAACTGCGTGTTCCCAGCACCAGCCAGCTGCCCTGGATGTGTCCCTGCCTGGCCATAGCTCTGCACCTGACCTTTCTGCTCCATCAGGGAAGCCCATGTCTTCGCAGATGGCATTCTGGGCACTGCCTTTGTGAGATCAGCACACTGAGATCAAATGAGCCAGCAACCAACCCACTTGGTGCCAAATTTTTCCAGGAAAAGACTTTGTAAGGGTGTAAAGGTG